AAAAAAAAAAAAAAAAGAAGAGTTCCACCAGGTCAGTTCATTCTACAGCCACTGGGCAGGTCCTGAAGGTGCCCCAGTGGGACAGGAGCTACCAACAAGCAACTAGATATGGGAGGTCCTTGGAGTAAATGTCAGCAGAGTCGCCACGCAGCTTGATCGGAACGGAGAGAAAGCGAGACTAACCTGTAGCGGTGCTCAGGCCAGGACACGATAAAGCGGGGCCTCAGAGTTTGCGTGTGATGAGGGGCTTTCGGGAGAACCGGCTTAGGGATGGCGGCATCAGCCTCTAGAGAGGCTCCTGGAAAGCTTATCTAGGGCCAGAGCTGGACACGTTGGGTCCATCAGGGTCAGCAGTTTGGTCTTCAAAAAAAATAGAGCATCAGCCGGGCGTGGTGGTGCATGCCTGTAATCCCAGCACTCGGGAGGCTGAGGCAGGAGGATCCTCGCGAGTTCGAGACCAGCCTGGGCTACAAAGTGAGCTCAAGGCCAGCCTGAACTGCATAGTGAGACCCTGTCTCAAAAAGACACAAAAAAAAAGCAGTTTGGTCTTGTCCCTCCAGGCAGGTGGAGAGGATGGCCCTGGCACAAAATGGATTAGTCAGAGCCGGGACATTCCCTTGGGGCTCTTGTTGGAGAGCGGACAACAATTTAGAGGCTAGCCCTTAATGCAGAGCCACAGATGGGGGGAAACTGGACCAAGGCAGCTCCAATAGGAAAAACACAGTGGGGCTACCTAGGAATAGAAATGGACAGATGCTCAGGTCAAAGAAAATGCAGAAGGAACACAGGGAAATCTGGGTTTCCAGTTTAGGAACCTAGGAGAGCCTGACGAAATTATAATGAGTCTGCATGGGCTGTGGGAGTGCTGAAAGATCAACTTCCTGCTAGGAGACTGTGCAAAAAGGAAAAGTACATTACTCACTCGTTCAACAAATACTCACAGATGACTGCCATGTGCTAAGCAGGCCCTAAACTAGGACCCGGGGATACAGCAGTGCCTAAAACAATAGTCCCTATCCTCTTGAAGTTTATTTATGGTGCCCTGGAGAACGCCAGGGATAGTAATAGCTCGTATGAACTGAGTGTCAAATCCTGTGCTTATATGATCTAACTGATCTTTATCACACTGAGAAGCATGTACTGTTAATGCCCCCATTTTACAGAAGAGGAAACAGGTGAAGTGAGGTCAGTCACTTGCCCAGCTAGCAAGCAGCAGTCAGATGATGAAATCTTATGTCAAAGCCTTTCTTTCTTTTTTTTTTTTTAATTCTTTTTTGTTTTTTAAGACAGGTCTCACTACGTAGTGCAGGCTGGCCTTGAACTCACTATGTAGCCCAGGCTGGCCTTGAACTCATGGCAACCCTCCTGCTTCAGCCTCCTCCTGAGTGTTGGGATCACAGGCATGCACCCCCATGCCTAGCTAAAGAATACTTTCTCACAGGACAGAAGTGGTGGTGTTGGGCTTTAACTTCTGTCTTGTGAAGAGGTTGAGAAAATATTCTTTAGCTGGGCATGGTGGTACATTCCTGTGATCCCAGCACTCAGGAGGCTGAGGCAGGACTGCTTGAGCCACAGATTTTAAGTCTAGCCTAGGCAACATAAAACCTGGTCTCAAAATAAAACAAAAACGAACAAAACTGAGATTAAAAGGAGGCTGGAGTTTGCAAGTAGATGGGAGTGGAAGCCAATAAAACGTTGGCCACCTTGCAGAAGTTGCAAGCCCCCTCCCACAGGTATTAGTAGGGATTGCATTTCACAACCATTTTGATACTTAAAACCATCCCTCGCTTCGGCCTTCTGAGAAAGCAGCTTTTCTTGAGTCCTACAGACAGCCCAGGCCAAGGGGCAGCTCGGCTCCTCAGGGTGCGCTGTGCGGCCAGACCATGATAGGTGCAGAGTCCTTCCCGAAACCCTCATGCTGTCGCCTCAATCTGTCACGCCCCCTCCAGGGCTCCAACTTAATCCCCCAGCGCTCAGGGCTCCCATCACACCTCTGCCAACTAATGCAGTTTATCCTGGAAAAAAATTGTTTTATAACTCCAAGGACATTAATAATTAACTTCCATACCACAAAACTTGTAATATCAGTTTGCTGAAATAAAGTCACCAGTATTTAATTCTTCTTTAAAGGGTGTCTTCCATTATTATTATTTTAGAGTGCAATTTAGTCATCAAAGGTTTACTCAGCCTCATGTTTATAAATTATACAGGGCAGGGATTTAACTCTTCTGGCCCTACCTGTTCTGAAGACAGGGAGAGTCATAGCCTGGTTGTCACACCAGGCACCTGCTTTGAAAGGAGATGAGACGGCAGTTCCAAGTTCCTTACCTTTGGGGTGAAGAGAGAGATTCCCCTTTATGATGCAATCAGAGGAATAACCAGATAGTTGCCCCACACCAAGAGGCACTGGCTTTTATCCTTCAGAAGGCTGTCTGGAAACTTTTTTCATTGCGATTCAGTCTTGTCTTGATTATATGACGTAATAACGGTGGCCTTCCAGTTCATCTGCGCAGTAGCGTCTTTTCACTGTGCTGGTTACGGTCATCGTTCTGAGGGGGAAGGGCTAATGCCTTAGATCAGTAAGCGCACGTCCTGCCTTTCCGTGTACATCCTGAGCTTGACGGGGGCCAATCAAGGGCTCACTCAAGTTCATTGGGGTTTAAGGAAAACGCGGCTACCCTCCCGCGGAGCCCCAAGGGGTTTCTGTCATCACAAGGGAAGGGGTCCGGAAAGATAGCAGGTGTTTTCCTTTCAGTTCCTCCGTTAAAGTACTCTAGCGTAGCTGGTCAGGTCCTTGGGGGTGGGGCTGAACCCCTACAGGCCACGCGAGGAAGGGCCTCGGTTTCCCCTCCAAGGCACGCCCCTCACCCAGCCACCAGCCCTCTGGGCCCAAGCCAAGCCCGAGGATGGCCGTCATCCTCCCGGGGCGGCCGGCTCTCCGGATCTTAGAGGGATTCCTGCCATTGGCAGAAGGGGCCGACTCGATTCATTCGGGGCGAAATACACTCCAAGAATGCGTCTGTGGTCTGGAGGACTGGAAATCTCAGGGTAACACATATTCTGAGGAAACCTAATAGGTCCCAGGATCGCAGGATTCAAACAGGTGACAAGGACCCGTCCGAGGCAGGCGGAGCCCCAGCGGCGCAGCGCGCACAGGCTGCCCGGCGCTGGGAGCCCCGAGCCCGCGTCCCGGCCGCCCTCGTCCCGCTGCCGGCCTCGCTGTCACGGCCGCGGGCGGCAACAGTCGCTGGCGAGGGGCTCGGCCGCGAGGGCGCGGGTGGAGCCCGAATCCAAAGTAAACACCTCGCAAACCTACGTTCAGCAAGTGACACTGAACACCACACTCACGTTTCAAAACAAAACAAACCAAAAAAAAAAAAAAAAGGTACTGTTTGCAGAGATGAGGGCGAAAACATTTCCCGGCTGGAAAATTACTGATCGCAGACGGGGAGGGGGGGCGCGGGGCGGGAGGCAGCGCAGAGTGAAACTGCGGTCCTCCTGCCTGGGGGCAGGGGCGGCCGCGAGGGCTCGGGCGTACTTTTTTGGAAAGGAGGGTCGCACCGCGTCGCTGCGTTTCTTGGCACCTGGCCACTCTGCAGCCAAGTCTCCTCCAGTGTGCTAGTCGGGCGCGGGCTGTCGTTTGACCCCAACCTCGCCATTTCACCTCTTTATGACTCAGTTTTCTCATCCATAAAGTGGGAAGGAGAGTGCGCAGCTCGTAACGCGCTTTGAGATGCCGGTTGAAAGGTGTCTCCGCGCCTCACTGTCCCCTTCCCCCCGCCCCCAAATAACGCCTGGGCCTTTTCACTGCCCTCCGCGCAGCCTTAGATCTCAGCAGCCAGAGCTCCGGTCCCCATCGCGGCCGGCCGCCCAGCGCCGCGCGCTCGCCTCCTCCACGTCCCCGTGCCCGTGCCCGTGCCCGCCCCCGCCCGCGGAGGCCCTGCGAGGCCCCGCGCGAGGCTGGCCCGGCCCGGCGCGCGTACGTGAGGGGGGCGGGCTGGATGAGTCACGCGGATAATCGCGCTCTCCTCGAGCGCGCAGATGGCGCGGCGAGCGCGTACGCGAACAGGGGTGGGGGCGCGTCGCCTCCCTCCCCGCCCCCACTGCCCCCTCGGCCTCCGGCTTCGAACCCGCGGAACCGACTATGGGGGCACAGAGGGCCCGAG